TGCCATAACACTGTAATGCGCAGTCAATCAGTCTCCTGCGCATTAATTATCTTGCGTAGATGCACGCGGTAAGTACTAAAGAGTAATGTTTGTCAAATTAGAATACACAATGTTCTTTTTAATTCCTAGTAGAATTTTATAGATTAGTTCAATCTAAATCTGCTAAAATTCCTAAAATGGTTGTTCAGGTCTCCTCTCCCATTATCAGAACCTTAACAAAAGCATTAGTACCCTCTCTAATATTGCACAAAATTGTTTGCCCAGTAAGTCCTAGCACCCACCTAAACTTTACTGGATAACTATAAAACCAGGGTGCACAGATACAATTTTGTGGACAGATCCTGCTATCATTTATCCCAATATATATCTGGAATTAGTAACTGCATTCACTTCAGTGGAGTTGCTCTGGTTTTACACAGATATGACTGAGAACAGAATTTGGTCCCGGTCACCCATGTCCACTAGTAGCTTACAGATTATATTGCTTTGAAAATCCTTCTACCCTCCACAACTCCTGCAAGCCAGTGTGACACTACAGTCCTACAGCTAGTGTAGACAAGCCTGAGCTGGCTTTAACTTAGCTAGCTCAGGTCTCAATAATAATATGGTGGGACGGGATGCAGCATGGGATCCAGTATGGGCTGAAAACTTGCCTGCCTGGAACTTCATGCTATGCTGGTTAGATTGCTCCTAATACCAGAGGTATTTCAGGTATCTATATACTACACTGTAGTCTGTAGACACTGTAGTGACAGTGGTGGCATTTGGGTTCCTCCTACCGGAGCCTACCCACGCAACCTAGTTGGAGTAGGGCAGGAGTGCCTCTGGAACTTCCTCCTGCCCGGCTCCCCTCTGTCAGTTGGGGACAGCAGGGAAAGTGGTGGGTCATGCCACTGAACACAGAGGGGAAGGGATTGTTGCTGAGGATGGGGGAGGGAGAGCAGGATTCTTACCTGATTTGGAGAGTTTAAAAAGTCCCTGGATGCTGTTCCTGTGGTGTAGTCTAAAAGCAGTGGTGCAACTGCACCATTGCACCCCTCTAGGACTACCCCTGTGTGTATGGCATGTAGAAGTAGCTAAATCTCAACATTTCTAGTCAAGCCTGGGGAAAATTTTGACATTTCAAAACAACATTTTTCACTTCAATTGGAACAAAACTCAATTTTCTGGAATTGCAGATGAACCGACAGCATGAAAAAATATTTCAGACATATTGCTGTGTCCAAAATGAAACGTTCTCTAGGGAACAAGCAGCTACCCTGTGAACATGACAAGAACCATCAGTTTTATTCAGCTGCTTCAGAGGTCCATGGTTCTTATGCAGCCCTGGCTGAGAACTGCCCCAGAGCCCAAGCCCCTTGGCTTCTAGACTCCAGAGCCAGCTGGCTCCATGGGCTGCTCAACTGTCAGGGTACATGGGTCCCCTAGCCTGGCTAGTCCATGCTGCCACCTAGTTGGGGAATGTGGAAGCACTGAGGTCTTCATGGCAAAGCTACACTGCAGTGATGGACCCTGGAAATGCATTTTGAACCAAGTGGCAAGCAACCTGAAGCCCAAGAAAACCCAGGATTTTCTGGTTCTTCAGTCCAGATATACTTAGAGCTTCAATTTGATCCAGAGCAGTGGCAACCCATAGGGGGTACACAGGGGTGCACTTGCACCCCCTGAGAGTGCTGGTGCACCCCCTGTCAGGCCACGCTCCTTGTTTAGGTGACAGGCAGGGGGGCAGGCGGGAGTGCCAGTGCCCACCCTGAGAGTGCTGGCTGGGGAGTGGGGCTGCCAGCAAAAGCAGCTGCGCTGCTTCGGGAAGTGGCGGTGGGACTTCCGTCAGCAGGCCACATTTTGGTGAGTGAGATTGGCTGCAGGGGGATTCCCCGCCTCCCTGTCAGTGAGATCAGCCACCAGGGGACCCTCCCCTAGTTGCTGACTGGTGTCAGGGGGGGCATGTATCCCCCCTGACTCGAGGCACCAGTTGCCTGTGATCCAGAGTTCTCAGGGCTTGTAGGTCTTTGTTGCAGTGCAGAGAAGCTAGACCCTAAGAGTTGCAGCTAAAGCCAAGGTCTCCTAGGGCTTCCAGGCCCCTGGCTCCACCTGTGGGGCCATGAACCTCTGGAGCAAGTGGTTAGCTGCCTCAGGTCTGAATGTGGCAATGTATAAACTAGTAGGAAAGTGGACAGGTGTCTATCAGACCTACCTGTTGTTTGCTGAAAGTTACTGGTTTTGATGAAGCCTCCACAAAACACTCTTGTTTGCATGAAATGGCATTTTTGGAAGAAATTATTTTCAGAACATTCCCGATCAGATGTCAAAGTTTCCTGTAAATTAGTCTTAGGATTGCTCAACAGTGAGTGGACAGCAGCCTGCAAAGATCTGAAATCAATCAGATTTTCTTTCTTTTTCACCAAAGTGACAAGAAGAAAACATAGTAGTTAGGCCAGCCATTTCTTCTTTTTCTCTACTTAATTTCAAGGACTACATCTCCTAAATACTGAAACCTGAATGGGATCAGGGAAGGGGTGGGCAATTATTTGGGCCTGTGGGCCACATAGGGAGTTTTGCTGAGCTGTCAACCCCCTCTCCCATGAAAACAACTTACTAAAACTCCCTATGTGGGATGGGGCTGTGGATGGATGTGGGGTGGGGGCAGTGGTATTCCGGAGCAGAATGGGCAAGTGAGGCTGAGATCACAAAGTGGAGTCATGGGGTGGTGACAGCATGGGGCTGAGGCCCAGGGCAGAGCTGCAATCCGCTGCCTGCATGCCCCTGTGACAAGTGCTGGTTCCATGGGCAGGGGCATGCAGGGAACAGATTGCGGCTCTTCCCCAGGCCCTGGCCCTGTATTGTTATCATCCCTAGATCCCAGGGTCTCCCTGGCCCCATGCATTTCACTCCTTGATGCCACTCCCCATTGGTCCACAGCCCAATCCCAGCCCCCTGCTGCAGAACCTGCCTGTACAGATCTTGTTTCTGGTGGTGGGCATGGGGTGGATGGGCAGCAGGGCTTGTTCTGGCAGTTGCAGCTAGAAGGAGCTGCTGCTTCCAGGGCTGTCCAGAAATGCAGCCTGGCTGCTGCTCTCTCCCAGCTCTGCTGTTTGCCTGGGGGCAGAGAGAACTGCTGCACATGTCATGGCCCAGGCTGCCCGCCATCCTTGGGCCAGGTGGGACCTAGGCACCTGCAGCAGGATGGACAAAATCCCTCTGTGGGCTGGATGAGACCTGCAGGCTGTATTTTGCCCACCCCTGGGTCTGGGAAGGAAAGCCAAAGGAAATGAGCTAAACTTCCTATAACTCATTTTCTGCCCACAGGTGTACTTTCACATACATCTCTCTTACCGGTGCCTGCAAATGCCCAATAACAGGCAATTACTGAACTTGGGGTAAAAACTGGATGCACACACTTCCAAAACAAACTGGATATCCTTTTTCTTTAGTAAAACTGTGGAAGAGATTACATTTGTGATTGGGGATCCTACCGCAAGGAGTTATGTGCCCTGTGGAGGGCTTGAAAGGTCGGCTGCTTTTTACACATCATTAAGCACTTTGCTAAGATCGGGGACAGTGGGAGTAGGATTCTGGAAAGTGTGGGGGCAAAAAGGCTCTGAACTCAGGTTAAAGTTAAGGCATGGCCCTGCTCTGGCTCGTAGGGTAGCTAAGGACAGCCCTGCAGCTGGGATGCGGTGGGGCAGATTTGTGGTGTGCCTTGTGCCTGCTTTTTACTGACTTTGTTTAGTTGTGATTTGTCCCAAAATCAAGTAAAAGCTGCTGCTATCGGGGCGTCCCTGGGTGCAACAATCCCAAAGCAGATGAGGATTTTCTCCGTGGGGGGGGGGGGGGGGGGGGGGG